AAAAAAAACAAAAGTGTTGGCACAATACATTTTTATTGGACGGCGCTCTTCATTACCAAATTGACTTCACAGTCGCGATGGTGTTAGACGCCGTGATAACCGCCATCAAAGCTGATGCAAAGGCCTACTTGCAGAGGAGTGGACGCTTTCGTGGGAATCCTGACGCTGCTGTCCTCGCAAATAAAATACAATTGCACTACTAATACTGTCCGAAATATCCTAAGCGGCAAGCCCAGATCCGGCCCTCGTCGTGCTATAAAGCGGGCTACAGCTACAGTAGTACGCTACGTTAAAGCTGACTACATCGCAAGAACCGCACTACTCCACAGACTTGAAGACAATGCTATCACGGAAGCCGACTTGGCTTTCTACGCGTTGACCGACATTGCTTTTTGCTGCGCTCTCATATGGCTCCATCGGCTGCACAAGCGTGTGCGAGTCGTTATCGACCGGAAGTGGGTTCGTTCGTATCCGTCTGCCATTGAATGCGTCAAGCTTCTGATCGCCGCTGGCATTCCTGTCCGCCACCGTGTCCCTATCATGCACTACAAGATACTCATTCTTACATACAAAGTCGATATTTCTGTTTCATCTGGAAGTGCCAACCTGACTAGCGCGGCATGGAATCGCAATGACGAGCTTCTTGTTCAAACGATGGGCCCTCCAGGTCAGTGCAGTTTGATTATTATAGTATTGCTATTTCGTCTACTTTTTTAGGGTACGTGGCCCAGGCAATGTTTGAACGGTTGTTCGAGCGGAGCCTGAAGACCGATCCTGTCTTCGATCTGACTCCTACCGAGCCCACTGGTTTCGGGAGTGAGGCTACCGGTTACTCGCAGGCACGGTCAATGCCGCCTGCGTGTGAATCTACGAGGCGAAACATGTAAGTGGCAATGATATTGAAATAACCTAACAGTAGTTTCGGGATCGCAGAGTGAGTTCATGAGCTCCGTGTTCTTTCAATGCATGACCGGCTATGCGAAGCTCCGCCACCTCAAGCACCCTGGACGAAGAAACAGACGCCCTTCGAAGCTCCTCTGGATCTTCGCTAAGCTCGGAACATCCCACCTCATTTCCAGGACATGCGGCTCCCCTTACCAATAGAGAAGAAGTCGCTGAATGGTTTTGGGGTCCGTCGAGACCTCCTCCGTCATGGCGATCTGATCCTTCCTCCTCGCAGTGGCCCCCGCCGCCGACTACGTCGTCGTCGCAGAGTCCGTTTCCCGAATCGGAGCTCGTCACGGGGCAACGCCAATGGCCGTAACACCAAAGCCAACCTCACGGCTGAGGGTCTCGTCTTCGTGGGTCTCACATACTGCGAGAACGAGTGCTCGGTGCAGTCTGTGACGGCGCAGATCCCGGTGGTCATTGAGCAGATCCGCAGCATCGTCAAGAACGACTCACGCTTCGGCTACCATTTCGTGGATGGTTGGACGATAGAGCGTTGATGGCTAAACCAAACCCGTCCGATGTTCGGCCTGTATTGGCATGAGACAGTGGCACCAATACACGTAACCGCCAATGACGACGTGTGGGGTTATGCTGGATACCCAACCACACTTTTTTTTTTTTGCGACGATATCAACTCATGATCATCTCATATGATATATTAATAGTCGGTGGAATACTTCGAACCCGTTTATAAATATTAGGAGCAATAATTGTCAGAAAAGAAGTAGGACTTCGTTGAGCGTGTGCGATTTTGAGTAGGGTTAGGTAATTTTGTGTACATCAAGCACACAATTTCCCTTATACTACAACAGGTATGTCCTTTCAGAAGGGCCGCGGTAGGGTAAGGGTTATGGCTCTTTTTTTAATGCAATTTGGATAAATATCGCACGGGACGCATCCGGAGACTTCGCACGTTTGAACAAATCTGCGCTTCACTATCGAATCTACCGCGAAGCTATCTGCTCTACTGGTGCGAAAGTCCCACGACGCACGTGCGGTTACTAAGGTTATAGGCACATGTATTTTATGAATAGTCTGTTTTGGTTCAATGTAATTTATTTGTTTTGGTTATTGTATGCAGTATGGAAATCTCTGAACTGCTATCGACGCCAGGATACGTGTGTGACAATTGTCACCACGACTTTGGGCGTTCGGACCACCTACGGCTGCACCAGCAAGGACGCTGCCGCGGTATCCCAGCGCCCCCGTGCCAGCTTTGTGACGTGTGCTGGCAGTGGGTCAAAGGGAACAAGCACCATGTCACGCGCCATCAGAGAGGCAGTAGATGTCGCAATCTCGCCGATCGCATCGAGCACCGGAACCAGATCGCTGCAGCGAGGCGACAACGCGACGCAGCATACCACCGAGAGCGACGTCGTCAGCAACGGGAGTCAGCTGGAACCCAAGACCAGGTGGTGGAATCTGATGGCAAACAAGATCAGTTGGACCAGCTGCTCGAGTCGGATGATGGGCAAGATCCGTCAGACCATGTGGATGATTGTGGCACGGACAATCCGACTCCGCCTGATTTCGCCCAAGATCAAGTTGCTCGTGACGACGCCGAGGACCAGGTGTATGATGATTATGCACATGATCTTCTTGATCAGCTGGTGATGATTGGAGATGATGATCTTTCGGACATTGTTGCCATGCCCAACCTTTTGGAGCTAGAGCACCAAGACAATGACAACCACCAAGAGATTCAAGGTGCACAAGATGACCAAGTTTGTCAGGAAAATGAGGAAGAGGAGCACGTCCAGGCACCTGGTCACCAAGAATCAAGCAAGGCTACGGGGCGCGACGGTGTTACCGATTGCGTCATATGCCTGGATCCTCTCGGTGGTGAGACATGGGTGTGTGATCAAGACAGTTGTCGGCAGCCGTACCACCGAGAGTGCATCAAGCGGACAATCCCTATTGACCCACGGTGCAGCAACTGCCGTGCCTACGTGCATCTTGAAGTTGACGACGATGAAGTGATGATTGTCAAGCATGTGGCGGCACCACCAAAGTGTGTGGTTTGCCTCAAAATCATCACGGGCGTGGTACTGGAAGGGCCTCAATGTATCCACACGGTTGACTACGAGTGCCTCGTGACGTACAACGCTCAATATCTGCGCAATATTCGATCCCGCGACTTGCAGTGCCCAGCGTGTTCGCAGCCGTTCCCAGTCCCTGATGAGCTAACCTTCAGTGATGAGGAAAACGACGAAGGATCGGAAGAAAACGCCTTTGAGTATGAAGAACCGGATGGAGAATCAGAATCAGAAGATATGCAAGACGATGGAGACAACAGTGTCGACGAATATCACGCGAGTGACTTCAACGATAGTACAATAAAGGACGATGGTACAATAAGGGACGACAGTACTATAAGGGACGATAGTACAATAAGGGACGA